GAAACAATCCAGAAGAAAACAAAAGGTCAAGGAATCTTCTTATCCTTTTTAATGCTTGGGGCCTCTGTTGAGCAGGGAAACACTGAAATAGACATTAGTGTCATCTCTTGCCTCTGCCTGTCCCATTTTGGTTGCTTTATCTCCACCTATAACTTAGAAAGAGCAATTATAAACAAATGGGGCCCAGCATGAGCACCTCTCTGCCAGCCTCTCAGGGTCAACTGTCTCCTCCCCAGTTCCTGCACCAGCAGAGTGATGCATAGCCCCTGGATGTCAGCATGAGGAGGAACCAAGGAGGCAAGCGGCCTGTGATTTAAACCCATGCCTGCCTTTGTCCGCTCCACATGGAATTGCATCAGGAAGGGAGCCTGGACAAAGCTTTGCTACTTTAGAATACAGGAATGGATACGGGATATATGATGAGCATACAGAGTAATTTAAAGGAAAAAAAAAAAGCGATGGAAATCATTTCCCATTATAATCCCCGTGAATTGCCTTACATCTCTAATATAGATCGCCTGGGAAATAATTTAAAAGCATTTAAAAATATCTTCCATTTTCTATTATGAGTCTTTGGATTTCCACAGTTTGAAAGAGGGAAGAGACTGTAGCTTAGAAAACTAATTACAAAACATAAAAATGCTCAAGTCTAATGGAACATATCAGATTGGAGGAAGATTCCAGCAATGGCAGGCAGTATTACAAATGTACCCTGAATGAAAGAGTCACATCTGAAGCAGAGAGAACAGTCCTACCTAAACGTCTTGTTCTCAACATCTTTGTTTTACATTTTCTTTGTTCCTGTTGGCTTACTAATTAGCTGTGATTTTTTTTTTAATGCCCCTTACAGTAGGTTAATTTTGTCTAACTCACCAGCAGGGGTTTTTGTAATACATAATTCACAGAGCAATGTCAATGATTAAAATTCTTTCATTAACACAGCACCTTAAAGATAATAAATATGAAGCATTTAGCTCCCAATCTATGGGTGCAAAAAGCCTAATTCTGCATGGAAAGAAAATGCATGCTCAGATAACTTGGCACTGGAGAACAAAATGAAATCTGTTTTAGGGTATTGCAAACACAAAGTCAAACAAATCATAGAGCACTTATTTTGAGAACAATAATGTAAGGGGGGGTTAGATAAGGAATTCAAACAATGTACTTGAAGAATACAAAACAAGCAGCCAAAAGTGCTCTTCTCTGGCACTGTTGTGGGCAGTTCTATGCCACTGCAGATGCTCAGCTGAACAGAGGGTCAACAACATGGCTTGGGCTGAAAGTCATCAGTGGTGTGGTGCCAAGTAGCTTTGATCTCCATGTCCATTACTCTTCACTCTCCCCAAGATTTTTAACAGGTCTGATTTATCAGGATACAAGAAGAGCAATGCAGTAATTAGACACAGGGCATGAGATCTCATTTTGAAAGTTTTTATAACTCTTAGAACATCTGTTCCTCTGAACTTTATCACTTCCTTTCCACCTACACTCAAACGATTCTTATATTTCATTCGCTACGTGCAGGCTCTGTTTGCTTCCATGTGTTCATCCTGATACAAAAAGGATAATAATTGCTGATGCCTTAGCAACAGCAGCCAAGAAAACAGAGAATCTGATCACTAAATGTGATTTTGCTTAGAGCTCTTCCCCCGATGACTTTTTTTTCCTACTTCCCTTTTCCAAAGATGAATCAGATTCTTTTTTGTTGCAGGGGGGGAGGAACAGAGGGTATACATATATATTTGGAGAGGGTAGTAAGAACAAATATCACTTCTCCAATTCAAAATATTTTCCTGCTTTAAATATATCAACTGAGAGTAACTCTGCACAGAATTCCAAACAGCTTTAAGTTCAAAGACATGAAAGTGAATTAAAAACCACAAAATTGTCACCCAGTCCAAAGGTTATGGCTCAAATTTAACAGGTGGCCTTGACATAATGCATTTTCTACTCTCAGCTATGGTTCTAATGGGTTTGTCTTTGGAACCAAAGTGCAGCATCAAACTAAGCCCTCAATTGGCATTTTGCGCTAAAGACACATAGAACCAAGTGAGAGAAGATGGTTCTCCAACATGTCATCCATTCAAGTAAATGGCCTGTCCACTTCAAGAGGGAGGTCAACAGCAGGTCGGTCAGAGAGAACGTTCATGGCTTGTCCCACCTCTATAATTTGCCTGTGGCTAATTTCATAATTTCTATTTTTAGTGTTTGGTTGCTCCCATCGCTCTCATAAGCACAAATAATTGCTCCCATTTTTTAAAAGAAAGAAAGCAGCAAATAGCCCTTTAGTAAGGAGAGCCACTAATTTTAGCTACTAAAATTAATACTGAATACCACTAAGAGAAATTTGCTACTGATCAACACATTAACAGGAAAGTTGTAACAAATGGTTCTGTTTTAAAAAATGATAGTGAGGCAAAGTTAGTTCTTTTAGCCCAGGCAGAGTTTTTAAACTAGAAGTGTTTTAATTTCACACATATAAACCAAAAAAAATTGATTTTTTTTCCTTGTTTCCACTTATAGATTAAAGTCTGGGTAGCTTGCCAAGCTTGGTCAACCGATTACTGTTAACGATAACAGATGAGGTGGGTGTAGAGGGACTGATACCCGTAACTATTGGGCAATAGATACATATGATTCAAATAAATCAAGAATTTTATATGGATAGATAGAATCATAACTTGAGCATCTGAATTCATAGTTCTTCAATGCCACATAAAAGAGGATGGTAAAAGGCTAAGAGTAAAGCCTTTATGTCAAATCAATCACCTTCCTCCCACAGAAAAGATTCACAATTTGAGAAATTTCTTCTTCCTAGAGCAGCCATGGCCATGTCTAACCAGACTGGTCTTATGGTAAAAAACTAGGTTGACTATTTGTCAATCAAATACTCAAACCTCTATGTCCTGTGCACTCCATCTCCTCCACCGCAGACAACCATATTAACAAGCTTCACCTTGGCTTTAGAAGTGGGAGTAAAGGAGGAAGCTATCTATATAGAGCCTATAGGTCATAGCCTTTCACCCTCACATCCAGCCTTTCATACTAGGTATTTGCTGAGTTGCTGCTATGATCAAGGAGTTCATGGTAAGGACTTTGGATTTTGTTTTGAAATGGGAAGGATTTTTTTTTTTAAATTCCAGTATAGTTAATATAAAATGTTATATTAGTTTCAGGTGTATGTACAATAATTAAATAATTCTGTACATTTCTCAGTGCTCATCATGGTAAGTGTACTCTTAATCCCCGCCACCTATTTCACCAATGCCCTTCCTACATCCCCTCTGGTAATCGTCAGTTTGTTCTCTAAAGTTAAGTCTATTTTTTGGTTTGTCTTTTTTTTTTTTTCCATTTGTTTGTTTCTTACATTTCAAATATGGCTGAAATCAAATGATATTTGTCTTTTTCTGGCTGACTTATTTCACTTAGCATTACACTTTCTAGACCCATCCATGCTGTTGCAAATGACATTTCATTCTTTTTTATTTCTAAGTAATATTCCATTGTACATATATGTACCACATCTTCCTTATCCATTCATTAGTCAGAGAATACTTGACTGCTTCCATAATTTGGTTATTGTAAATAATGTTGCAACAAACATAGAGGCACATACATCTTTTTAAACTAGTGGAAATGGGAAGATCTTAAAATTGAAGAGTGATATGATCTGGCTTTAAAAGATCATTCTAGATGCTGTGTTGACAAGAATCTTCGTTGAGGCAAAGAGCAGTAAAGAAGACCAGTTAGAAGGCTAATGCAACAGTCTAGGAGAAAGACAATGATGGCATGGACTGGATGGAAAAGGGATACAGATTATGGAAAGTGGTCAGATTTGGATTTATTATGAAAGTAGAATCAACAGAATTTACTGATAGAATGATAGCACTAGGAGAGACAGAAGTCAAGTTCATTAGAATATAAACTATTTTGAGAGGGTGTATGTGTATTTGTCCAACTGACTGACCTACAGCATTTATAACAGAGACTGCAAATATAACAGACCCTCAGTAATTATTTGATGAATAAATATGGTGCCTCCACCTCCAAGGTTTTGAACAGAGAAACTAGATGAATGACATTACTAATTACTGAATGTCCCCAGGAACAGCCACAGAGGCATGTTGTTTGTTCTGTTGGTGGAAGAGTGTGAATCAGTAGTTCAGTTCTGGGCATGTTAAATTTGAAATGCCTACAAGATATTCAACTGGAGAGAGCAAGTTGGTAGTACATGTCTGGAATGTGGAGAAAAAACAGACAATTATTAAGAGAATAGCCCTTATTAGAGAATAGATGATGTTTAGAGCAATGGGGAAGATGAGATCATCCAGGTTGTGAATACCAAGCAAGTTTAAGGAGTGGACCCTGGGTCACTTGAGTATGTATAGGTCAGAAAAACAAACTTTAAAAAAGCACAGAAAGAGGAGCCAATGAAATGGAAGGGGAACCAAGAGTGAGTGGTATCTCTGATATAAAGAAAAAAAATGTGTTCTGAAAAACGTGTTAAGCAACTGTGTCTAATGCTACTGTTGAGTCCATTAAAAAAATATGAAAATTGATCACTGGACTTGCGACATATAGGTGAACAATGACCTTGACAAAAGCAGTCTTAACAGACTCAGCATAAATTAGCACTAAAAAATAAGCTGGATCCGGGCGCCTGGGTGGCTCAGTCGGTTGGGCGACAGCCTTCGGCTCAGGTCATGATCCCAGAGTCCTGGGATCGAGTCCCGCATCGGGTTCCCAACTCCACGGGGAGTCTGCTTCTCCCTCTCACCTTCTCCTCACTCATGCTCTCTCTCACTGTCTCTCTCTCAAATAAATAAATAAAATCTTTCAAAAAAAAAAAAATAAGCTGGATCCCTAGCATCCAGACCAGTGCTAACACAGCAGGTACCTAACAGATACTTAAATGAATGAAGAGCATTATCATTCTATTTAAGGTACATTTAAAGTAAAAAATAAATAAATAAATAAATAAATAAATAATTTTTACTAAGATGGCGCCAAAAGCTAAGAAGGAAGCCCCTGCCCCTCCCAAAGCCAAAGCCAAAGCAAAGGCTTTGAACGCCAAGCAAGCAGTGCTGAAATGCATTCACGGTCACAAAAAAAAAAAAATCTGCAGGTCACCTAAGTTCCGACGACCCAAGACTCTGCATCTCGGAAGGCAGCCCAAATATCCTGGAAAAAGTGCCCCCAGGAGAAACAAGCTTGATCACTATGCCATCTTCAAGATCAGCCATAAAGAAAATATGCTTGTGATCATTGCGGATGTCAAGGCCAACAAGCACCAGATCAAACAGGCTGTGAAGAAGCTCTACGACATTGATGTGGCCAAGGTCAACACCTTGATCAGGCCTGATGCGAAGAAGGCATATGTTCAACCGGCCCCTGACTATGATGCTTTGGATGTTGCCAACAAAATTGGGATCATCTAAACTGAGTCCAGCTGGCTAAATCTAAGTATAATTTTTGTCATCATAAAAAAAAATAATAAATTTAAAAATATTTTTTAAAGTGATTCACACATATCCCATGCTGGTCATGCCTCAAAAGGAGATTGATTTAGACCCTGAGAAGGAAAATGTATTTATCACATAAATCATTAGAAATATATGAAGATTTGGACCAAACATGTTTATCAGAATATTATTTGTAATATTAAAATGAATAATAACTGAATGTCAAACTAAAATAGTTAATTTTAGCTTACCCATTAAAAATGTTCAATGGGAAAAAGAAGTTTACTGGAAAATGACATATTTAAGCGTCCAATAGTATGGGTTGATATTATGTAACAGATCAAATGATATAATATGCAAATAAAAAGGAGGAATTACAATTCTATACAGAATAACTTGAATTATTTAAAATGTTTATATGGGGGCACCTGGGTGGCTCAGTAGGTTAAAATGTTTACGTGAATTTGATTAGTATGTGTGTAGAGGCATGTGTGTAATTGTTTCTTTATGGGAGGAAGAGATTGAAGGAACATGCCAAAATGTTAAAAGATTACCTCCATATGATTACTCTCTTCCCTTTAATATTTTCTCTAGTCTTCGTAATATATTGTATTTCTCCATTTTCCTCAAATCTGAATATTTTGCTTTTAAAATTCAAAAGAAGTAAACTGTAAATTTTAGTAAACATTATTAATTATTGTATATATACACATATGGTGTATACATAAAATTCAATAATTTTTAGAACATATTTAATTGTCCACTAAACACCTGATATCAGCCAGAGACATCTATGATAACTAAAGTGAACTGTAGTTAGAGTTATGTCCCCCACGAATTCTGTTTTTGTATCAACTGTCAAAAGATGATGAGACAGGGTATTTATTAGGGGCCATATCCACATTTCTTGCTGTGTATTTTTCATCACTATCTTAAGCCCTACGCGTATATACTGAATTTCAGAATGTTCATCCATTTTCAGTCTTCCAAGTGAACAAATCAGATTCACTTCATAGTTAATAAAAGTGATTCTGCAAAAATAAATCATGAGACTGCCTAGAAAAAGAAATAACTAAAAATCATTCATCAACTGTGAAGACAAATTTTTTGGCAAAACACCTAATATACTGACCCAGTGATACTAACAAATAATGTTGTGTATCAGCTAACTCCAGATTCAAATTAAAGAGAGACTTTATAACTTTAGTATCATAATGAAATCCGGTCCTCTAAATTCTCCAAATTATTAACTACCCTAATAGGACTCATGAAATATTTTCCTTACAACAAAGGCCACTATTATAAAATTTTAATGGAATCAATTTTAAGCAAATGAGTAGCTAGTATTTTTTTCTTTTAGTTGTGTGACTTAATTAGTCTAAAAATGAGGCTGAAAAATAGTAAGAATATTGTTGTTCCCAGATTATTTTATTACACTTAAAATGATATTTTAAATGTTCTATTAGATGCTTTTAAACTTCAGCTACATTTGAATAGAAGAAAGGTATAATTAATGAGAGAATATATGAAGGGGTAGATAGAGTAATGTATTTTAAAAACCACTATTATTTTCTACTGAATTCAGATTCAATAGCATATATTAATCATTTAGCCTCTGTTAGATTTCACATGTACTTAATTTTCTAAATAAAAGCAATACCATACCTATTTTCTTACTAATCTCAGCCAAAAGAAAAGAAATCCCTCTGTATAAATGACCAAATGAAAACCAAGTATTTTATCTAAGCTTTTTATCTTGATACATTTAAAGAGTTTGCTTTTTATATTGATACATTTAAAGAGTTTATTCTAATACAAATGAAAATGCTTGTGGTTATTGAAAGGTATAATATAAAAATATCTGTATAAACGAGAAACAAGCCAGATAACCTTATTATGTCATCAACTCTATGAATTCACCTACTTTTCTAGAGACATATACAGAAATATAATCCACTAAATAATTTCACTGTTATCTTTGACTCAACAATTTAGAGAACGCTGACACTAATCAATTGTCCTATTATTTAAAATATAAGCCAAAGACTAATGATTTTTAAATACATTTTTACAATTACAAAATTAAATTCTTACTATTCTTGATCAGGGAACACCAAGAATTACAAAAAAATTAATAAATAAAGTCACACACACATAAAGGAAACACCAAGAATTAAAAAAAAATTAATAAATAAAGTCACACTCAAGACACCCCCAAAACATAATAGCTTTAACATGCAGATGGATCACTTCTGTGTTATTAATGCATATATTATTTTCCTATTTAAAACTGGACACCTCTAGTGATGAAATTAGTCTTTTTGTTTTCAGTGAAACAATAATCCCAGAATTTTAAGTATCCAGATATGAGATGTTTTTAATGGCAGCTTAGTATTACATCAAATGGATTTGCCATAATCTGTTCAAGCAATCCCATGATGAATATGTGGATCATTTCTAATTTTCTCCATTATGAACAAAATGACAGCATTCTTTTAGATAAATATTTGTATAATATCATGATTCTATCCTTTGGCTACATTTTTAAATTTAGCTTATTATCGAGCTTCACTAATTTCTGAAACTATAAAAATGCATAGAAACTTGAAGTAATCTGTTCTTTCTCTCAAAAAGTAGATTCTTCTTACTCCCCACTTTCTTTATTGGAAGGGAACCCAAGATTTTGCAGGTGCTAGTGCGAGGTGATTTTATAATCCTCTCAATAATCCTGTTTGATAGATCCTATCATCTCCATCTTATAGAAAAGGAAAGTGAGACTCTAAAAGGTTAAGTAACTTTGCCTAAAGTCACATCATTGGTAAAAAACAAAACTAGAATTTAAATTTAGGTCTGCATCCAAAGACCAAGCTCTCTTAATTCAAGCAAGTCACAAGCTTCTGTGGGTCGGGAATGACTTGTCCTATCTTACACTCCAGTTCCTTTACAGGATACTGAAAACCTAATCCAAGAAACAGCAGAAAGTGAAAAATCAGATCATAAAATACATTGTGTTTCAAAACAACCACTTTGAGGAGCAGGATTTTGTTGTTTGGTTATAATCAGAATGCCTTATCATTGGCTTGTTTTTGTAACTTATTTCTTTTCTTCAAAGTGGTTATGGTGGTTCCCTCCACTTTTCTTCTTTCTTTCTTTCTTTCTTTCTTTCTTTCTTTCTTTCTTTCTTTCTTTCTTTCTTTTTCTTTCTCCTTTCTTTCTTTTCCTTCTTTTCCTTCTTTTCTTTCTTTTAAACACTATGTCCCTTTGGGGGTTTAGAAGGATTCGAAGGAGCCTACGAGTCCAAACAGTTCAGAGCTTTCACTGTCCTTATTGTCTGGCCAGGCTGAATGTCTCAACATCACATTCAAGACAACCCTGGCATTACAATTAGCCACACTTCCTTTTGAGAACAATCCTTCTGGAATTCAAACTTCCCCCACCTGACAGTGCATGATTCCAGGAGTGTGGAACAAAGCTCTTACACATCACAACAAAGGTAAGATCTGACAAGAGAAAATTCACGGTTCTCACTCTCTATGACTCCTTCCGATAGGTTTTCCTATATCCATGACATTAGACAGAGAGAACTAAAGATCCTGAGATCATTCCTATATCATCCTAAGCAAAAAGATTCTTCCTTTCCAAAGAGGAATGATAATTCAATTTAATTTTAAATTAAAACTAAAAAGAAGATAAGTACTCTATGGTTATTTTCCATCTGTTAAAATTAATCATAATTATGTTTGTCAAATATAAGTTTTTATACAATCAAACTGAAAAGTATATTATCAAAGTCTGCAAAGCATTTAATTAAAATTGATTTTCTTTTATGCATTCCACCTCTCATCTCCTGAAGATTCTTCTTATTTGCATGGTTTTTTCCTTATTTTGTTTAACAAATATATTTTCTCAGGACCTTCAATCAAATTGTCCATTTTTTCCTAGGTCTTAAATCTTCTCAACCACACATACCTGAAGCTCTCTTTCTTTCCAAATTTGTCTTTCCTTCATTCCTTTTTACAAAAATTTTACTGAGCATCTACTATAGCCCAGATGCCATTTTAGCTCCTCAAAATATAAAGATTTATTTTTGGAAGAAGGAAGAGTGAAATTATTGCCTTAGAATATCCTCTGACGGGTGCCTGGGTGGCTCAGTGGTTTAAGCCTCTGCCTTCGGCCCAGGTCATGATCTCAGGGTGCTGGGATAGAGCCCCGTGTCGGGTTCTCTGCTTGGCAGGGAGCCTGCTTCCCCTTCTCTCTCTCTGCCTGCCTCTCTGCCTATTTGTGATCTCTGTCAAATAAATAAATAAAATCTTTAAAAAAAATCCTCTGAGTTACTGGAATTCATAAGATTATTTATCCCTCAAGAGCACTTCTGATATGCAAATTTCATGTCTCAAATTTCACTTTCCCAGCAATGTGTAAGCAATGTACAAACTACTGTATACCATTTAGGTATGGGGTTCAACCTATTTTTTGGTTGGTGTTGGCATGTGTCTGTGTATCTTGTAATCTGTTGATGCAGGCACTACTCATATGAAGCTTTTAGAGGTGGTTTGGGGATCTGTTTACATTTAACTCGGATGTGCAAAAATCAGCAAGCACCAATATCAATCCAGACGGGTATTTATTGGGTTATTCAATAATTATAACACCCCTTAAGTTCTTAATAGGGGAATGACTGTATTTTAGTGCACCACCAGTCAAATAGCCACACTATTCAGGCATTGCCTAGGGACCAAAATTATACTGATGGTAGCCACCCTATTTTGATATGGACAGAAGATTTACTCATATGTTTATCCATACAGCTTTTCACACTGGCCTTCAGCCAGGCTATGACAAAGTGAGAAGATCCTTGCCAGTTCCTATCTGGCAGATCCATGTGACTTGAAGGAATCTTTGGCCTAGAGTTTGATCGATAATGCCAGAATTGCCTGGAGAATTGAAAACATATGGACAACTTCCTGGGCTTCCAA